CTCATAACAACCCTATGTACAACAGAATGAAACACTATCCGATCCCTGTAAAGATTACAACCGAGGAAACCCTGAGCGGCAGTTCTACTCTGTCATATGGGGTAACTATGACTCAAAAATCTAATGACAGTACCTAACAAGAAGATGTACCATACAGTGATTGTACAGTGGAAAAATCTCCACGGATTAAGCAATTCACTTTCACACTGCCTACTTAATCAGGGAATTATCTGGCCCTCACAACTCAGAGGTAAACATTACTTAGCGTTTTCAGCCCCAGCAATGTATAGAAGGACATTGTTCGGGAATCTTCCCCTGGGAGGAGGGGTGGCTGGGGCTTGCACTGGCTCACTGAGGTTATCCTTCTCCTGACCCTTTCTGATGTTCCAAGGATCTTTCTTCTTTGACTTTTTTTTAAACATTTTGTTGTGTTTTACGTGAAAATTTACATGGCAATTAGTTTTCCAATCAATAATTAATACACAGATTGTACCACAACATTGGTTGCAATCCCCACACTGTGTCAGCACTCTCCCCATTTCTTCCTTGTGTTCCCTGTTTCCATTCATCCGGTTTCCCTGTTCCTCCCTGCCTTCCCATCTTCGGTTTTAGGCAAACGTTGTCCTTTTGGTCTCATGTGGTTGATTATTCCAAGGAACACATTCTTCACAGGTGCAATTTTTTTTGTCTTCTAGTCCTGTCTATTATTTGGCTGAAAGACGGTCTCTGGGAGTGTCTTCAGTTTCAAGTTAGAAAGTTGTCTTAGTGGTTCCTCTTGTCTCTTTCAGATCAGTAAGACTAGTCTTTTTTTTTTTATTTTTGTTTTTTAATTTGAATTTTGTTGTACATTTTTCACCCATTCTAACCAGGACCTCCTATTGTGGTCAGAGTGCTTGGTCGTGGTTGCCAGGTACCATCTAGTTCTTCTGATCTCAGATTACAGGAGGTTTTAGTTCATGTGGGCCATTAGTCCTTTGGACTAATTGCTTCTTTGAGTCTTCAGTCTTCCTCATGCTCCTTTGTTCCAGGTAGGAAACTCTCCCTAAACTCTAGGGACCAATAGCTGCTTCTTAGATGGCTTCTAGCAAGCTTTTGAGACCCTAGACACCATTCACCATGCTAGGATGTAGAACATTATCTTTATAAACTATGTTTTGCCAATTGAGCTAGATGGCCCCTGAGAACATGGTCCTAAGCCTTCAAGTCCAATAGTTCAGTCCCAATGTCTGAGTAGTTCTGTAACTGCGCCCCTTGCGTGTTTAATTATATATATGAGTATACATACAACATTTACAAATATGTCTGCAGAAATATTCACAACCATACTTATATATGTACATGGGTATACTCCCATACAACCTCCCTCACTTATTTAGCATACATATTTACCTATGTATCAACTCACAAATTATTGTTTGTTATTACTGTTGTTGCAGGATTGTGTATATTATAGCATTTACCATAAACCAAAAAAACCGGACTCACTGCTGTGGAGCTGATTCCCACTCATAGCGACCCCTCCTTGGGTTTCCAAGGAGGTATTTCTACAGAAGTATATCACCTAGTCTTCCTTCTGAGAGTGGCTGGTGGGTTTGAACCACCAGCCTTCTGGTTAGCAGTCAAATGCCTTAGGCACTATGCCACCAGTCCCTCTCAGTGCCCTCTTTTGCCTTGCTTAGGTTTTGCTGACTTCCCCCATATTGTGTATTGCCTTTCCCTTCACCAGAATTAACACTTGTGTACTATCTAGTTAGTGATTCTCTCTTCCTCCTCCTCCCATCCCTGGTAACCATCGAAGGATGTTTCTTTCTATGTGTAAACCTATTCTTGACTCTTTATAATTGTGGTGTCATAATATTTGTCCTTTTTTGATTGCCTTTTTTCACTCATTATAATGTCCTCCAAATCCATGTTGTGAGACGTTTTGCAGATTCATCATGACTCTTTATTACTGTGTAGCATTCCACTGTATGTATGTACCACAATTTGTTTATCCATTCATCTGTTTATGGACACTTACGTTGTTTCCATCTTTTTGCTATTGTGAATAATGCTGTCATGAACATGGGTGTGCATAAGTCTATTTGGACTAAGGATCTTTTGCTACCCTAGTGCCTGATCCAATATAGTGAGCTCTGGAAATAAGATTCATATCAATCTGGCCCAAGTCCTCCTTTGGGAGGTGCCAGAATTCTTACTCACAGAGTCCTTTGGGAGACTAGCTCCAGGACCTCACTGGCACTGAGGACCTTGTGGGAAGAGGTTTGATTTGTTCTGCAGAATTTGAGATATAGCAGGGCAGGCCCAGACTCTGACAGTTAAAGATAACTGGATTTTGATAGAAATCAAAACGTGGAATGGGAACCTTCAAAACAACCTGTGATTCTGGGGGTTGAAGGTTTCCTGGATCTGGTTTGAGTCTATAAGAGATCTCTGGCTTCATTTGTACCCAGAAAAAGCCATAGGATTGGGCCAGGAGGGACTGGCATTATGAGGACAGCAAGTCAGGGGGCCGTGAAGAGTGATGCATTCAGTGACATTTCCTCTCACCCTGCCCTTCCTGTGCTTTTGTTTCCAGAGGCAAACCCTCCAGTATTCCCCAAGAATATCTATAATGCAGAGAGCAAAGCAGAGGTCAATTTCACTGTGGAAAATTCTGATGTTCTCATTCTTCTAGAAAAGGAGACGTGACCTTGAAGCCACTTCTATACTCAAGGCCTGAGCCCTTGGGATATCATTATCTGGAAAAACTGAGATTATACAAATAATGTTGTTTTGAGTTCTCTGACCCACTGAGCTACAGAAACACAGGGAAAACACACACACACACAAAATACCCCGTCCTTGTATTTCAGAATAGAATTTGTCAATTTTATATATTTTATCACATATTTTTGTCTTTTGTTTATGTTGGATGTAAGTGAATCATAAAATTAACAGTTGGAAAATAAGATCCATGTAGTCTGTGATTATAGAAGCTATTTCATAATTACCTTTATATGTACAACTATGTCCTTTATGGACGTGCTATAAATGCTTTACAATGATAATTTAAAGAATGAATAGTTTTTATAGCATGGAGAAGAAAGCTATAGGAACCTGTCATCAGCCTGTCCCCCAAACAAAGTTTGTGGAGAAGAACATAAAACTTCAAGTTCTAGAAAATCCCAAATGCATAAGTATTACCATGCAAAATGTCCGTGACTTTGCACATGAGTCTTTGCATGAAAAAAGAAGAACCCAGCTGCCCATCTGTTTAGTAACTCCAATCTAGGTAGACTACTACATACTACTGTTTTGACTTGAATTACATTTTTTATCTGCCCTTGAATTTTGTTTTTCTAAGTGCAAAAATACGAGAATTTATCTTCATGCTAAGAATAGGTTGCTCTACAGACTAGATTTCATTTTTGGATTAAGCTCACCCCCTAAATTTAATCAACAGCAGGCATTATATTTAGTCCTTGACTAACAAGAGGGGATCAAGGCAACACTTTCTTTTCAGTGCTGCCAATATTGTGAGATAGCCTCTTTCACCTTCAAACTATTTTATCATGCGATTTTATTTTCTTTAATAGGGAGTATATATCTCTCCCAGGAATACATATACACAAATAAACATCCATCATTGATGTTTTTCAGATGTCCTTTGAACATTAAATAACCGCAATGTGAACATCCTAAATTAAAGATGAAATCCCAACAAGAACTTGATTGATATCAGGTACCTAGGATCCATCTCGGGGATCCATGCCACTGATAGGAAGGAAAGAGTCCATCCTCCAGAGTATATTTCAGGCATAAAATATTAAATAAGAATTCATAAAAGGCATATTACTCATCTTAAATTCACCCTACTAACAACCAGTGTCAAACACAGCTTGTGGTTTTTAGCTCTTCCACAGGACAAGTAAATTCTTACGCGGGTATGATTTTAAACATGAAATATGATTGAACAGCTCAGCAGTTCAGAACACCATCTCTGGGGTCAGGCCGCCTGGAACAGAATCCCTGCTTCACTACATGTTGTTATGTGTCGTCAAGTCAGACCCGACTCATAGTGATCCCTCCTTGGGTTGCCAAGGCAGTATCACTATGAAAATAGATTGCCCAACCTTCCTTCTGAGGAGTGGCTGGTGGGTTTGAACTGCCAGCCTTCTGGTTAGCAGTCAAGTGCCTTAGCCACTATGCTATAAGAGCTCCTACATACTGACTATGAAATTTTAAGTGACATTTCTTAACTCCTCTAAGGCTCAGTTTTCTCATCTGTAAAATGAGGTGTGTGTGTGTGTGTGTATATGTGTGTGTGTGTATATATATATATATATATATATATATACACATACACAGACATATATCTATCAAACTTTATATATATATGTATGTGTGTGTGTACATATATATGTATGTATATAGTGCTTAGCACAGTGTCTAGAAATTATAAGCACTTAAATAAGGGTAACTGCTATTATCACCATATTGCTATTGTATTATATTGTTCTAATGTACTCTCATCCTAGCTAAAAACATACAATTTCCACTTCCTAGGTGATGAAGTAAGTACACTATACTCTCTCCCTTCTTTGAAATATAAACTAGATTCAGCAATGCAATGAATTAGACCATAAGCCACTAATATGATGCTGTGCTTTAGAAGGCCCATTGCCACCGATTCCTATAAGTCACAGAGTGACAGCATTTCTGATGTGGGTGGTGTCTTGGAGAGAAGTTACACCAGGTCCTTTATCTACAAGTGAGAAGAGTGAGGTTCAACAAAGGTGAGATGGGAAGGTCACATAGATGGGAGCAGTGAGAGTGGTGCTCAGGACGGATGCTCTTGGCCCAGCCTTGTGCTCCTCGCCCTGCCCCATCCCGCCCTGCCCTTTAGGATTCTTTAATGTCTCATTTTTTTAGTCCATTTTTCCCTAAGAAACACACACACACAATCTCAGCAGCAGGAGCAGCAATAGCAAGAGAGTGTTTCCCAGGGTTTTATGTACCTGCCTCGAAGATGACCCGCTTGAAAACCGGGATCTCTCAAAACTTGTCTCTTGTCCCCAAAATTGGTCTCGCTTCTTCTCAGTTGGGTCTCTTTTATGTTCCTGTCGTCTCAGACAAGCCTAGAGAACAAAAGTATTTCTCTTAGATTTAAGGTTAGTTTTGGCGACTTGCTCAATTCCAATTGCAAGGAACATGAAATAAGTGACATCCATCTCCAAGTTCATCAAACACCTGCCACCAAGTATAAAGACATCCTCCCAGGAACCCTTAACTCCTCTTAACTCTCCCTTCTCCATGCCCCAGATGCAGGCCGGACATGTTAGTCATCACTATAATAAACTCAAATGAACATTATGTCAATTATTTGCCCAGCAATTGCCTTCTTGAGGAAGGCGGTACCTAACACAATATACCTTATTAACTTCTCAGTCCCGTCTCACCCCCTTCACAGTGCCTCCCTCTCCCCCACCTCCACTATCCTCTCCTCCCTTCAATTACACCTTGGTTACAAGAATTTTCATATTCACAGTGTCAGCATATGCTGTTTCCTCCACTTGAAATACCTTTCACAAGGTGTTCTCCTGGTGAATCTGTTAAGAACCAGCTCATGGCCTCACTACTCCTCCCCGGGCAGAATTATTGCTCCTTTATACATAGTTTGAATTATACCATTTTCCCCCTATTGCATTTAGTTTTCTTGTTTCTGAGCCTGTTTCTCCTGTTGGTCAGTGAGCACCTTTGGGGAAAGGACCATATCTTATCTTTAGAATCCTCCAGCATAGGCACCTTTGTTAGTTGAATTGCAATTATGCATTAGAGGGAGACAGCCATCGCCAAATGCAAAATGTTACCAACAAAAAGAATTATCCCATGTTTCTTAACACAATCAAAATAAAATCCAGGATGTTTCTAGGAACAGGAATCAAAATAAAATCTAGGAATAGAGAGAGGTATTTTCCCTCCAGTATTAGGACTGATAACTCATGTTGTCAGAAGGGATCATTCCCCAGAGAAGGATATTGTGCTTGATAAAGTAGAGGGTCAATGAGAAAGGGGGAGACCCTCAATGAGATGGATTGACACAGTGGTTCCAGTGATGGGCTCAGGTATAGCAAGGACTGTGAGGCTGGCACAGGACCAGGCAGTGTTTTGTTCTGTTGTTCATGGGGCACGATAGAACCAACTCAACAGCACCTAACGACAACGGCTACGATGAACAAACCCAAGGATATAATGTACCACAAGGATGAAAAAAAAAAAAAAACTCATTGCCGTGGAGTCGATCCTGACTCATAGAAACCCCTCCTTGGATTTCTGAGGTGGTATCTCTATGGAAGTAGATTGCCCAGTCTTCCTTCTGAGAAGTGGCTGGTGGGTTTGAACTGCCAGCCTTCTGGTTAGCAGTCAAATAAATACCTTAGGCACTACACTACCAGAGCTCCCACTACAAGGGTATCAACTGATATTTTAGATACCCTCAAACAATACAAGTTCTTGAAACAATTCTAAATCTATAAATCCAGTGACCACATTCATCTTTGCCCTGACAAGTGCTCCACTGTCAGAGTGAAGAAATACAGTGTAAAGACCGGCAATAGTATTTCCAAGCTGGGCCTGACATTTCCTGCTTGCTGGTGTCAACCTGAGAAAGGAAAGATTCCTCCTTTTCCCTCCGTTTGAAAAAGCAGCTCCCCCCTTGATTTAAAAGGGCTTGCCAGAATTTCACTCCATGGGGAAAGCCTACTGTGATGCTTCAAGGTTAAGAATAGAAATGACCTGGCATTAAGGAAACATTTACCACTTGGAATGGGGCACAGAGAGCTGGTGGCACTGTGCTTCCCAGCAGGGCTGCAGGAGGGGCACTAGCCGAGGAGGCTCCTTTCCAGCAGCCAGATGGTCACCTGCAGCAAGGGCTGCCTCCAAGCCCAGTGCCTCCAAGCACAGTCCTGATCGCCAAGAGAAAAGGTGCAGTGTCACCCGACCTTGCTTTGAAAGGGAAAGCATTCCCAAATGATTTTTTTTTTCCCTGTCCCACAGTTAATCTTGTTTTCAAAGACTGGGCCATGTCGACAATTGTTGTTGTTGTTACTGGCTGCCTTAGAGTCAGCCCTTGATTTGTAGTGACCCCACAGACAACAGGATCACACTGGGTCATCTGTTTTCGTTGGCTGATTTTTCACAAGTAGGTCACCAGGTCTTTTCTTCCTAGTCTATCTGAGTTTGGAAACTCTGCTGAAAATTATTCAAAATCATAACAACACAGAAGCCTCCACTGACAGATGGGTGGATGCGCATCAGGTGCACTGGCCGGGAATCAAACCCAGATCCCCCTTGTGTGAGGCAAGAATTCTAGCACTGAACCACCAGTGTCCCCACTGTAATAAACATCCCAAACCAAACTCATGGCCATCGAGTCAATTCCGACTCATAGCAACCCCCTTTGGGTTTCCAAGGCGGTAAATATTTATGGAAACAGACTGCCTCATCTTTCTTCCATGGAGTGGCTGGTGGGTTTGAACCACCAACCTTTGGTTAGCAGCCAAATGCCTTAACCACTGCACCACTAGAGCTCCTTGTAATAAACACTAGACCAAAAAAGTAAAAATAAAAACCAAACCCAGCTGTCAAGTCGATTCCAATTCATGGCGACCTCATCTTTGTGAAAGCAGATTGCCAGGGCTTTCTCCCAGATACCACTGTGTGGGTTCCAACCAACAACATTTAGGTTAATAGCCAAGGGTATACTATTTGCACCATCCAGGGACCTAGAACTAATGGATAGTGTTTATTATAATAAGTAACTTAGGGAGCTCTGGTAGCATAGTGGCTAAGGCACTTGACTGCTCACCAGAAGGCTGGCGGTTCAAACCCACCAGCCACTCCTCGGAAGGAAGATGGAGCAATCTACTTCCGTAGTGATACTGCCTCGGAAACCCAAGGAGGGGTCGCTATGAGTCAGGTCTGACTTGACGGCACATAACAACAACAACAACAAACAAACCAAAGCAAAAAACACTGGACCATAATTGTAATAAATAAACTCAACAACAACAACAACAATAATAAGGTCAAGCTAATGGAAGCCAGCAGAGAGCTTAATTAAGTTCAGCTAACGGCGTGTCTCTCGTTCTCTTTCCTTTTATACCGATGGGAACTTGCATTCAGGAGGAGCGCTGGCACGGAGCGCTGTTGGTGAAGCAGCAGATGTCTGTTATCCTAACCTCCTGGCATTAAAGGCAAAAGAAGAAAATGCTATGGGCTGAAAGTGGAGGAGCCAGCGTTAGCAAATGCACGCAGGACCGCGGCAGCTTCTGCGGGCTGAACAGAATTCTTGTGGGCTGAGTGTTTTTTGAAAATTCTCTCCAAGAATGCACATGGCTTAAATATTCTTTCACCAAAAGGGGAGAGGGATTGGTGTGCAACATTACAAAAAATTCCTCCCCGTTTCCTTTCCCCTACACTCTCAGAGATGCAGGAGAACAGAACAATTGAAAGGTAGGTACTTCCTAATTCTCATCTTGATACAACCATCCAGTTTTCCTGTGAAAATCAAACATGAATCCTTCTCTCAAAGTTACAGCTTTACTGAGAAGCCAGACAAGGGCAAACCAAGTAGAGACTTCTAGTCCTAAGAAACAGCAAGGACGAAGCCACTGTGTCTCCGTCCCAGACCCAAACCAGACCCACCACCATCCAGTCAATTCCTACTCATAGCGCCCCTACAGGACACTGTAGAACTGCCCCATTGGGCTTCCAAATCTATAATCTTTAGGAAACAAGACTGCCACAGCTTTCTCCTGCAGAGCGGCTGGTGGGTTTGAACCACCAACCTTAGGGTTAACAGCCTGGTGCTTAACTACTGCCCCGAAAGGGCTCCTTTACATCCCCCCAGGGTTTACTTGGGAGCTCAGGTAGCATGGTGACTAAGGCACCTGACTGCTAACCAGAAGGCTGGAAGTTCAAACCCACCAGCCACTCCTTGGAAGGAAGGTTGGGCAATCTACTTCCGTAGTGATACGGCCTCGGCAATCCAAGGAGGCGTTGCTATGAGTCGGGTCCGACTTGACGGCACATAACAACAATAGGGCTTACTTTTCTTTTTATTGTAAATATGGGTGATTTGTTGTTAGTGGTGGTGGTGATGATGTTTTTACTTTGGGGGTCCTGAATCAACAGAGGCAGAGGACTGTGGAAGCCATGGGACAGGTTTCCCCTTTCCCTGAACTTTTAAAATAGTCTCCTTTTCAATTTCACAGGTCAGGAGTTAGATTGCTATCAATAACTTTGTGTTTGTGTGACAACACAGGCTGAGGGCATCTTGAAACTGCGGCTATGAGTAACTTCTCTCCTTCTCCCAGGGAGCATCAGGGCTTCCTCCTTCACTTCTGCGGTGTCGTTTTCCCCCAGCCCGCCCTTCTGGCTCCAGCAGCACGCGGCCAGCCAGCCTTCCGTGCAGAAGCGGCCCACTGCGGGGGCAAAGCGCAGGGAGCACATGTGTGCCTCTGGGGGAATGACGTGGAGTTCTGTGACTCACTGCAACTTCATCCCGGTGAACGTGACAAACACCAGCTCTGCCACTTTCTAGCATCGTGACCTTGGGCAAGCTGACTCATTCATTGATTCTCACTTCTCTTGTCTGTGAGGGACAGCTGTCCATTTGCCGCATGGTGGTTAGAAGGAGATGGGTGAGGTACTGTTGTAACGCACTGAACCCACTGCCATGGAGTCGATTCCAGCTCACATTGACTCTACAGGGCACAGCAGAACTGCCCGGTAGGGTTTCGAAGGCTGTAATCTTTACCAAAGCAGACTGCCACATCTTTCACCCACGGAGCAGCTGGTAGGCTCAAACCACCAACCTTTTAGTTAGCTACTGAGCACTTAACCATTGCACCATCAGAACTCCTTCTGTAAGATACTTATTGTTCACCAAATGGGGCTGATCATCATCCTCATCATGATTAAGTGTTTTATTATATAATTTTATTTATTTTGTTGTTATTGGGAATATACACAGAAAAACACAACAATTCAACTGTTTCCACATGCACCATTTAGTGACACTGATCACATTCTTCGAGTTGTGCAACCATTTTCACCCTCCTGAGTTGTTCCTCCCTCATTAACATAAACTCACTGCCCCCTAAAGTTCCTATCTAATTTTTCAAGTTGTTATAATCAGTTGGCTCCTATAGAGAGTGCTTAAAAGAACATAATTGCTCAAACAGACCTTTATTATCAATTGGCTCCTATAGACAGTTCTTAAAAGAACATAATTGCTCAAACAGACCTTTATTATCAATTGGCTCCTATAGACAGTTCTTAAAAGAACATAATTGCTCAAACAGACCTTTATTATCAATTGGCTCCTATAGACAGTTCTTAAAAGAACATAATTGCTCAAACAGACCTTTTTTTAGTTGTTCAATTAAATTGTTACTCAGTTTTAAGATAACTTCAGGAGATATTTTTGGTATAAATTTAAAGACTAGGGCAATAGTTTCGGGAGTTCATCCATCCTGCAGGATTCCAGGAAGTCTGAAGTCCATGAGAATCTGAAATTCTTTTCTATATTTTCCCCCTTTTGATAAGGATTCTTCTATGGAACATTTGATCAAAATGTTCAGTCATGGTAGCTGGGCTCCATACCATCCTGGTCTCATAGTAAAGGAGGCAGTTGTTCATGGCGGCAATTAGCCGCACATCTTATAGGCCCCTTCTACTCCTGACTCTCCTTTCTCTGTTGTAGGCAAATAGAGACCAATTGTTGTGCCTTGGATGGGTTTTAAGACCCCAAGTACTATGCATAGAACTAGGAGGTAGAACAGAGGCACAAAACATGTTATTGGGTGAGTAAACTGGGATGTCTCATGAAATCCTGACTTACGAGTAGATTGTTAATTGTGATTTTCAATGCCATTTGTAGGTTTACTTTTGTTTTGAAAGTCAGACTTTGCCAAAGTATATCACTGATTTTGTTCACAGAAGAAAGGCCCTTTCTGTCCGGACCTGTTTCTCTTGCCCCTCAGTAGAGGTCTATTTCCTAAGCATACTAGTCACTCCGCCAGCCAGCTGAGGGAGTCCTGCTCTCAGCCATTCAGGTGCATACTGTGTATTAGTTTCCAGGGGTTGCTGTAGTGCCTGAGACACTTGACTGCTAACCAGAAGGCTGGCGGTTCAAACCCACCAGCCACTCCTCAGAAGGAAGACTGGGCAATCTACTTCCATAGTGATATCGCCTAGGAAACCCAAGGAGGGGTCGCTATGAGTTGGATCTGATTTGACGGTAGTGAGTTTGGTTTGGTTTTTTTGGTGCTTATAAGAACAAAAATGTATTGTTTCACAGTTCTGGCGGCCGGAATCACAATTCTAAGCGTTGGCAGGGCTACATTCTCTCTGAAGGCTCTAAGGAAAGATCCTTTCTTGTCTTGCCCAGCATCTGGTAGCCTCAGGTGTTACTTAACTTGCAGCTGCAACCTGACTCTGTCATCAGATGACTGACTGTCTTCTGTCTGTCTGACTGTCTGTCTCTGTATCTTTTCTTTTACAGGTCATCACTCAAACTGGATTAGGACCCACCCTACCCCACTATGACCTCACGTTAACTGATTATCTTGAAAGACTCTATTTCCAAACAAGGTCATGTTCACAGGTACCAGGGGTGAGGACTTCAGCATATCTTTTTAGAGGACACAGATCAATCCAGACCATAATGTAAGCTACTTTTTCTTTGGCATTACAGTCTTCTGAATAAACAGTGATGCTCAAAGTTTATTTTGTTTATCACTAGTCTCTGCCTTCCAGTAATCATCCAGATTTCTGGTGTCTCACCTGTGTCCCTGTGTCTCAACCCAACAAGCCATTACCACAGGAACACTTCCCAGCTCATATATGTATCACATATATATGCTGTCAAGTCAATTCTGACTCATAGAGACCCTACAGGACAGAATAGAACTGTCCCACAAGATTTTCACAGCTGTAAATCATTACAGAAGCAGACTGCCTCATCTTTCTTCTGTGGAGCAGCTTGTGGGTTTGAATCACCAACCTTTTGGTTAGCAGCCAAGAGCCTTAACCACTGAGCCACCACGGCTCCTTCTTAGCTCACAATCCTGGCATAAAAACTACGACAGTGGCTCATCTACATCTCGATCAATGCTGGCTTTGGTCAAGGTGGCTGTTACACTAAATCCCCAAGCATTTTGAAAAGTGGCAGTTGTCTTTAGGGGGTTCCTTTTTGTTGTTCTCAGGCTGTAAGATGTATAACTCAGAGTCTGGAGCTGTAGTTATCACTGGTTAAGAAATCAAAGGCATACACCCACTTTGGCATGATTTTCCCCTCAAACTAGTTTATTTTCCGGTTTTAGCTGTGTAGAGCAACCCACACCTCAAAACTGAGTGGAGAAGAGAATGTTCTCCCTGACTCCCATGGGATGGCAGTTGAATTACCTTCATCCTCTCACCTGCTTGGGTGGATGGCCTCCAAGTTCCCACCGCTGGGTTTCAAGCCAGGAGTCCCCGGATGGCACTCGACTATTAACTAAGAGGTTGGCAGCCTGAACCCACCCAGATGGGCCTCGGAAGAAAGCCCTGGAGGTCAACGGCCCTGAAAACACCGTGGAGCGCAGCTCTCCTCTGCACACAAGGGCTCGCAACGAGGGGGAATCAATCCAACAGCAACTGGCTTTCTTTCCTTCCTTCCTTCCATCCTCTTTTCCTTCCTGCCTTTTGGTTAAACCCACCTACCTATCAGGTCCTTGAACAAGTTTATATCATCATGTTTAGCTGTTTGATCTGCACTTGAAAGAATGAGAATGAGTGAGTGACATGCAGTTCAAGAAAACCAATTTGAACATATTTGATAGATTATGGAAAATTATTCTGAAATGCCAAGTGTAATCTCTCTCAGCCTTCCAGTGGACCTCAGTGGCTAAATTCTGCCTCCAGTTACATAAACACATTTGACCAAAAAAAGCTATGCAGCAAGAACAGCCTTGAAGGAACCGAGCCAAATTCTGAGATGGCATATAATTACATACTAGTTACCGGATTCCGAAATAGCATGGAATACGCCAAATAGCTGTTTATTTCCTCTTGTTTTCTCTAAAGGGTCCCACCTAACCACTGGAGGGGTAGCATCAAAATAACTCAGGGTTGAACCCTCCTCTCCTGCTAACGCACAGACCTGTAGACGCACTGCTAATTTTTGCAGACCAATCCTGTGGCATATGTTAGGATGGAGCAGAAATAGTTTACACACAAGGTTCTAAGGGCTCAATCTGAGGCAGTTCATTAAATCTGAGTCAAACGCAGGCCAGAAAATGTG